CTTATTAGGGGGGCCACTGCCAGCGGCAAGGCCCACCTATTACTCTTTGCCATATTTATTTAGGGGGGCCACTGCCAGCGGCAGGCCCCCCTATTACCTTCGCCATATTTATTCCGCGACTTATTAGGGGGGCCACTGCCAGCGGCAAGGCCCACCTATTACTCTTTGCCATATTTATTTAGGAGGCCACTGCCAGCGGAAAGGCCCACCTATTACTCTTCGCCATATTTGTTCCGCGACTTATTAGGGGGGCCACTGCCAGCGGCAAGGCCCACCTATTACTCTTTGCCATATTTGTTCCGCGACTTATTAGGGGGGCCACTGCCAGTGGCAAGGCTCACCTATTACTATCCGAAATACTTATTCGGGGGCCACTGCCAGCGGCAAGGCCCACCTATTACTATCCAAAATACTTATTGGGGGGCCACTGCCAGCGGCAGGCCCCTCTATTTCTCTTCGCCATATTTATTCTGCGACTTATTAGGGGGGCCACTGCCAGCGGCAGGCCCCTCTATTTCTCTTCGCCATATTTATTCCGCGACTTATTAGGGGGGCCACTGCCAGCGGCAAGGCCCACCTATTACTCTTCGCCATATTTATTTAGGGGGGCCACTGCCAGCGGCAGGCCCCTCTATTTACCTTTGCGATATTTATTCCGCGACATATTAGGGGGGCCACTGCCAGCGGCAAGGCCCATCTATTACTATCCAAAATACTCATTAGGGGGGCCACTGCCAGCGGCAAGGCCCACCTATTACTATCCAAAATACTTATTAGGGGGGCCACTGCCAGCGGCAGGCCTCTGCAGAGCTCTGTGAGCTGTGCTTCTGGCTCCAGGCGGGCGAAGCCCGCTTAGAAAGATTTCAATAATACATTGCTTTTGGTACAAGGCGGGCGAAGCCCGCTCTCGGTGATTTTTTACATTATTTCTGTTACCAGGCGGGCAATGGGTTAAACATTTATAGTTTATTTTGACATTTTTTGGAGGGTTTGAACTCGCTGGAGACAGTCTGGGCCAAACCCCTGGTTTCTCCAGAGTCTGGGGGATCCGTCACCACATGAACCTCTGGGTGGCGCTGCTGTCCGGCCACTGGAAGGTCCAGCTGAGGAAGACGTGGACGGCGGCGGCGTTGAGGGCGGCGTGCAGCAGCAGCTCCAGCAGCAGGCGGGGCGGCGAGGGCAGCGGCGAGGCGTGCAGCCGGAACATCAGGTAGGGCACGATGAAGTAGCGGAGCTCCAGCAGCCGCTGGGGAACCGTGGCCAGCGCCGCGCTCAGCAGGAAGCCCAGCGTCCAGAACAGCGAGCGCGTTCCCCGCAGGAGGTCCAGCGCCGTCCAGCCGGAGAACAGGTACGCCGGCACCAGCAGGTACCTGGCCAGCGGGGGGCGCCCCACCACCCGGCGCCACACGTAGAACGTGTAGTGCCGGTTGTC